ATAAATATATAAAATATATCAAAAATGCATGTGGGCACTCAACTGAAAGCTCTTGATGAGTGTAACATCGGGATGAGCTTATATCTTGAAAAATGTCAATGGTTCACAAAATACAAGGTCATTTTTTAATTATTGATATTTTTAAAGATATAAGCTCATTCCGACATTACACTCATCAAAAGCTTTCATTTGAGTACCCACATGCATTTTTGATATATTTTTCATATATACATATATATAATATATATATAAAAATTGATGTGGGTACTCAAATGAAAGGTCTTGATGAGTGTAACATCGGGATGAACTTATACCTTTAAAAATGTCAATAGTTCACAAGATACAAGGTCATTTTTTAATTATGTATCTAGAGATAGAGCATTTTCAAATGCAGCCTAAATACTTATCATAATAAATCAACTATTGATGAGAATGATATAAAACTTTGAAAAGGCACAACTCCGGTCAAGACTTTTCCAACGATACCAAATTTAACCATAAAAACCCATTTTATCATATAAATACACTGGCCACAAAATTTTTCTTATTCTCTTAATAATATAGATTTGTGTCTTATCATAGTGTATATTTAAACGTTCTAAAAAATATGTCAGATCTTTTTAAAGTATTTTTTGATTTATGTATAATTACATTCAGGATTTATTGAAGGATAAAATTTTTTTCAATTTTTTTTTTTTTTAAATAGTAGCTTATATTATTCATGGATAATAATACTCGAGAAATCGGTATTAATATTCTAATAATAATTTAAATCGAGAAATACTAGTTGAATCCTTGTATATCTAGGGAAAATAAGCTGGAATATTATACACTTGACTGCTGATGTTTCAATCAGTCAGCTGTATATTATTCAGGCTCGTATTTGCATACATGAATTGTAGTCTTATATATAGAGTCTACTTTAATGAATGAAACTCGTCTTCTACTTGCTTTTTAATTACCCTTGTATGTCATTCTCTCATGGAAAAATTGCTGATTACTTTGTCGTAAATAAACAACCTGATAAAAAATCTTTTCAAGATAATGGGATTTTGTTTTTACTTTGTGAATATTTAATAAGGACATTAAATATTTTTACGGAAGCATAAATATAATTATCAAGGTAATTTCTTTTTTTCAGAGCTTATTAAAAGAAATTAATTAACGCATCCGTTGTTAGTATAAAATTTTTTTTTTAACAAATAAAATTATCTCAATTTTAGATCATATTTAATTTAAATATTAATTAGTTTAATTAAATTATTTAAAAATAAATTTTGTTCTGTAAAATTTTGTTTTTTTAAAAGTTTATTTTACTTGGAAATTACGTAGGTGATTCATGAAATTTTCTTTATTGGAAAAAAATATAAACATAAATTAAAGCAATGACTGGGTAACTATTGTCAAGCCCTGTGAAAAATGAACATTTGTTGTGTACTTAAATTTTTTTTTTTTTATATTTTTTAAAGAAATAAGGGCGAGCTTGTCGTATTTTTTGTAAATCTTTATTTACACACTGCGTATTTTTATAAAAAAGAATTATTGTGAATAAAATAATAATATTTTACGGAGATTTAAAATGTCAACTATCGAGCTTACAGAATCACTTATTCAGCGAATCAATTTATACGATATATCCTTTGAACAATTTTATTTAGTACTAGGCACTATAACAAAAACAAAATGAATACGAGAGATTATCGATTGATGTGATATTAAAGCGCAGAATTGTGTAAATTCAGATTGAGCGATAAATGATGAACTGTTGAAAAATAAATACATTTTTTATGAATCACTGTGTTCATACGATAGCAAAAAGTCTATAGATCTTTTTTTCACGATCATTGTTTTATATAAAACAATGCTATTGTCGTTTATTTTTGTATTGAATAATTACGTTTATTCATTCTGAAAATATAAAAGCTGAATATTTTCGCGTTAAATTAACATTATAGATTTATTAAGATTATATTACTTTTTATATTAAAAGATTAAAAGTAAAGAATTTAAGTAATTTGTAGTTTTATATTTTTAAAAACTTCCATTGCAGAAGAATTTAGCGCGTGAGCGTTTTAGGAATGTTTTATTGTCCCTGGCGAGTACTGGAGCGAATAAAAGAGACTTTGTGGTCGAACTTTTCTGCACACGTTGCATATATATTAATAAAATCACACACAATATATTTTGCAAAGTTTATTAAAAAATATAAACAAATAAAAAACAGAGTTTTGATAGGTTCTCCTCTTTTAAAATAATTGATAAATGCCGAAAAGTAAAGAGTAAAAAATTCATTGCTCTATTTACGAGCCAATATTTATGTGTTCTATCTACTTTAAGAGTTATTTTCAATTTTTAACAGTACTTTAGAGTTGAAAAAACATTGAGTGTAAAAAAATAAAGTTACCGCTTCTGTTTTTATCGACATTTTTAGTCTAGATTTATTTGCGACAAAGTTACATACATTTCTTCTAAAATAGATAACTTTTTCCCTGTTGAAAATTGCCAAAACAAAAAGATAAAACACTTTTATATTATTTTTACGTGCGATGAATTGTTTCATAAATAAAATACAATATTATATAAAAAATTGTCTATTCAGTTTATACGAAGATTCATAAGGATTAACAGTTTATTTTATTGTCTTAGATAAGGTAAAAGACTCAGTTATTGATACTGGCCTAATTATTGACATTTGCAGTTTTATTTTAATTAAAAAAAAATAAATCAACTCTGAGAAATTAATAAGTATAATTTTTAAATAATTGATTTTTTGAGAATAATTTTTTTTTTTTTAATAATCATGGAGTACTGACTCGACCAAAAAATTATTTACCTTTTGTAAAGCTTACTATTTTATCAGAAATTATAAAATAAAATAGTAAGCAAACAAGTCAACCAAACAATGAATGCAAAAAGGATAAAACCTGACATTTTTTAATTAATAATAATTATTATTATATATGGTTAAATTATATCGGCGCTGTGTAATTCCAGATTTTATTTATATTTTTACCTGATTTTATTCATATTCATTTTATTTTTAGATCTATCTTTTTTTTTTTTTTTTCAGTCGAATTTAATTATTGTTATTACTCCTCAACCTAACTTTAATGTAAAATTTTGTATTGAGGATGGTATCCTGATGAAGTAAAAATAAATATTATTATTTAATAAAAATAAAATTGCAAGTGTCAAATAACTAAGCCAGAGTCAATAAATGGGTCTTTTACTTTATACCATATCTACATTTATGTCAACATCAAGAAAATATTTTTATTTGAACTGTCCAAGTACCAAAGTAATTAATTTTTTATAATTGACTCTTTTCATTTGATATAACCATCGAATTTTTTTAGATTATTAAATCCTTCAAGACTTTTAATCATTTTTTGTGATCCCCGGATGAATAAGGGCGTAACATAATAATTTTCTTCAAGATAAATGAAACAAACTCAGCAAGCAGGTCTTGTTTCTCTTGAATTATTTTCCAGTAATTATATTAATTTACTATGATTATTATTTTATTTAAATACAATTTCATTTTCTCATTTCTATTGAAGTATATTTATAAACTATGCATTCAAACTCGAAGAAATTTATTATTTAAAACAATAAAATAAATTTAATTGTACAACTTGTATTTTTTTTGTAATTGCATTTTGCAGAGAATAGACCGTTTATGAGGGAAATGTAAAACTGATTAAAAATTCCAATGAAGTCTTTTTGAAAAGAATGGATTGTTATTTTCTAACTGAAATGGCAAAAATAAAGGTTCTATCGCTTTCAATTAAAATTTAATTGGAATTTTTAATAAGCGAGTAATGGCTACGGAAAATTATAGTGTCATTGAAAATAAATTACTTTTTATTATTCGAAATATTTTGCCGATATTAATTATATGAAATTGACGTTCAAACGCCTAAAGCGACTTATGAATAAATTTTAAAAATTAGCCATAAAAATAATTTGTTTTTTTAAAAATTGTAAAAGTTTAAAAATAATATTTTAATAGTAATTATATTTTAATAATAATTATATTAAAATATAAATCAAATTATACACTCATAAAAAAATTAACTTGACTGAAGAAAAAAAGAAAAATTTATTAGTTTAAAAATTTTTTTACTTGATTAAAAAATTTTTCTCTAAAACCAAATTAATTTTTTTTATTATAAAATGTGAAATTATAATTTAAAAATCTAAAAAATTTATAAAATTTACCTTTTCGTACATCATTCCAGTTTCCTGGAAGCCTAGATAATTAGCCCTAAGCCATCTAATTGCAAGGTCTTTAGCCAGGCCGAGAGCTGGCTCAGCACCAGTATTACGAAGTCCTTGAACTATAATTGATTGGAGTGGAGGCCATGCATTGGGCCAATCCCATTGTTCTCCTGTGTGAATTAAAGTCGCTGGTGTGCCACCTAATATTCATAAACAGAATACCGAATTAATCCATGCTTTAGAAAACCCACACACGATTACAAGAATCTGTTTAAAAGCTAGAAATTGATGCGCTCGAAATGCTCTTGACAGATCAGCTTATATATTATTGAAAATTTTAAATAAAAACTACCTGAAAAAATTAATTTTATTCACTTAATATATATCAAAATTTATAAATTTACCCATAAAACTATCAATTCCTTCAGCGTGTAAATAATCGACAGCTCTTCGTGCATAAGTCGACGCATTTTTTTTATCGAAGCTATTCGTGTACAAAGGAGCAAGATTAGTCGGGTAAAAGAATTTCCTTGGTTGTTTATTTTTCATGTCATAATCCAGCCATATACCCAGCTCTTCATTCCAGAGGACATCATCAATTGTGTTTTGGAAATCACTCGCAATATCTCTGTATTTTCTTGCTTTCTGCAAAATTCCAGTTATTTTTTTTTTTTTTTTTAATAAATCATACAGCGTAAATTAAAAAATAAATATTCAATGTAATTTTTGTTTATATTTATATCTATAAAATTATTATAGTGAGCTAATTTAAATAAATTGCGATGTACATACATTAAAGTTTTATATCAATTTAAATTTTGTCTCTTGTTTATAAACACAACATATCGTATGAATTTTTCTCTGGTGAATAAACAAGTCGTGTTATTTTTTGCCAATGAATAAAAAAAAAGAATGAAATATTTCCGGGTGAGGTGTACTAAAGAATGGAAGCGTAAAAAGCTGAGGGACAGTAAAATCATAGTGATTTATACGCGTACGGTAAAAAGTGAACAAGCGATTTAAAGTGATTCTGTTTTTGTATTGTTGTGAGTATTTAAATAGCGAAAGTGTAAATAAAAGTTTGTTAAAAATAAAGTCAAAGGTTTTTAGTAGATTCTAGCATAAAAATCTAACTATTGTATTTGTTCTTATGACGTAACTTTTCTGAAATTTTTTGCTATATTTTGACTTAACTCGACGAACTGAGTCAGAAAATATACATGGGATATTAATTAAGCTCAACATACTTTTTTTTTATAGGTGATTACAAAGGTCAAGTTCAAGTATGAGCTCAATCAGTCAATTAGTTTAGAAATTACAGCATTTAAAAATTTTGAAAATTTCATACTCTCATTATATCTCCGTCAAATAACTTTTGAACGCATCGAGATATCCAATTTCTGTGAAATTCATCAGAAAGCTGAGACATTAATCAATTTACATGTTTTCTAAATAAAAAAATATTCATTTTAGGATCATTTTTAAGAAATTTTAATTTTGCAGTTGTTTTGTCCACAGAAATGAAATAAAATGAATTTCATAAAAATTCTAACATAAAAATCTAACTATTGCATTGGTCTTCATGAAGGAATTTTTGAAAAATTTTGCTATATTTCGACTGGTTACGTGCGTTAATATCCCCGACAAAATAACCCCAGACAAAATTCTTAAAAATATAAAAATTCATCAATAATTATTTGAAAATTAATCTCAACATTATTTTTTTAGTGTGTTTGTGTGTTTATTCAAAATTAAACCAACAAAAACGCGGAGATATTTTGTCGGGGATATTTTGTCCGGGAATATTAACGCGTGTCACCATTTCGACTCAGCTCGTCGAACGGATTCAGAAAATGCATATGGTTTAAAAGTTTATATATACGGTATAATCGGCATTGTCTCTTCTCTAACTCCCGCAATTCTTTATGGATCTCAATAAAATGTAACATACACTCATTCTTGGAATAATTTCTTAGGTTAAGTTCTAAGATGAGCCAAATCTGTCGACTAGTTTAGAAATGAGAGCAATTCAAAAATCGCAAAAATTTGCACTTTTACCGTATTTCCGTGCAATAAAAATTAAATTGCGATATCATATTTAATTTCTGTAAATTGCATCTGAAAGCTTATTTAATAAGCTTTAATTTGCATACTTATTAATTTTTCCAAATTAAATAGTTTAAGAATGGCAGCAATTCAAAAATTATTGAAAATCGAAAAAATATAGTCTAGGCCAAAAATTACCTACTTTCTCAGACAGATTTAATGAAATTTTACTTCTGCATTCGTTTTGATGTAATCGTTTTATTGTAATAGAAGTTGTTTATTATTATTAATATCATTTTATAAAAAATATGTTTTTTATTCGAGAAATCTACTTTCATTTTGGAAATTTCGGATGCCGAATATTTTTTTTTTTTAAGAAATCAATAATCAGTTATTTTTTTTAGTAAAAGAAAAAAAAGTTTTTTCCTAGTAATTTATTTTCTAAAAAAATCTATTAGATTGACTTGAGAATGGTAAAATTGAATTTTTAAGGAAAAAAAGCTCTGATAAATTACATGCACAATACTCACCACTTCATTTCCAAGAAGTTGGTTAAATTGGCTCAAGAGACGTGCATTACGTTGTAAGAATGCATTAAGATCCACTGGAATAATATTTCTTGTTGAAATATCTGATAGATTTCCCGTCCCTGGTCCACTGGGGATAAACCAACGTGATGAAAAGTCCCAACCACTCTCAGCTCCAGCTTTCATGTCTTCATAAAAAGTTTTACGACGTTCGTTACTGTCAAAAAATTGAGCTTCTGTGTAGTCTTCACTGAAACGTAAATTTTAAATTATTTATTCATTGAAAAAACATTTAATTATTTTACCGTAAAAATTTATTACGTCAAGTTAAATTGATTGATTGTTTTATTGTTTTGTTTGTGTATTACTACAGTATACTATAAGTAAAATATTTTATAAAAGTACCAAGAGAATGTAAATTGGGTATTTTCGTTAGAATGTTGTATGCAAAATAATTTAAATTTGTATTTATGACGATTTATGAAATGCCGAATCCCACTTTTGCTAATTCAACTATAAGCTTATGGCTTTTCATGTCAAGAACAATAAAATGCCAGAGGTAATACCGAGGTAAGCGCAAAACCCGGATAGCGAAGACAATATTAAAACATCTGTTGGGATTATGAATTAACAAGTGATGTAGTTTGAAGTATTTATTACATGAAACTGACAATGCGCTTATTATATCTTAAAACTTGTAAATAGAATATTATGCCATTGAGTATTAAAAAACAAAGATGTCAGTTTCCATTCATTTTTATTAAACCCGCAAAATGTAGGTTGAAATTCTATGTAAATTTTCCGTGATAGTTTTTAATCATTTGGTATTTTAACTTTTTCTACACAAGTTGTCTATTAATAATTTTAAGTATATTTTTGAAATAAATTAATTAAAAGTTTAAATAATTCACGAGGTATAAAAATATGAAAGTATAAACAATTTTAAATAGATTTTTTTTTGAGTTTTGTAATTTAAAAAGTGATAAAAAGCTTGAAAATAGAAAATTTATCAAGGATACTGAGAAAAAATTATTTTTTTAAAAATATGAACATTTTTTAAACAAAAAATTAATTTTAGATAGACAACTTGAAAATTTTCATCCAAAATTATTTTTTCCCACATTTAAAAATTTTTTTTTTCAACAAGAAAGTTACAGTAAGAAAAATTTTGATTTCTTCAGCTAAAAAATAAAATTGTTAAAAATTTCCAACAAATTAATTTCTTGTCACAAAAATTCCCTAATTTTTAAAAAGAAATTTTTTTTCTCAGTGATAATTATAATTTAAAAGATTCTCTTTAAAATTTTATTCAGTAATAATTAATAAAGTTGATTGTAATAAGAAGACAACATAATATATAGCTTTATAATAATCCGTTCTAAAAATATTGAGCTTGGTAGATAAATACTATTTTAATACACTAATTGTAAAATGTAATAATTATAATTTTAAGCTGAATTGTATTATTTTAAAACTTACTGTATAATTTTTTATATTAATTAATGATATAAAATTTAATAATAAAAATCTGTTACAGTTAATTTAATTTTAAAAATTCCTTACTGAAGGTAGAAATAATAAATTGAGAGGATTAATATCGGTCAGTAAAGTTATAAGTACGTGTAAATAAATTAAAGTTGTAATTAACGTATCAGGTTAACCGCAAAATACCATTACCCTGTAATGCAATAATTAGTTGATAGTTTAGTTGAATAATGGTCATTGACCCGGATTTAAAATGATAAAATAAATCCAAATCGTGATTTAAATTAAAAGACCTAATTATTGTTAATAGTAATACTATTTTCTGCGGTAGCGAAACTTATTATCACATTTAGAACGATACGATATACAATTAATGTGTGCAGATAAAAGTGTTAGAATGACGTAATATATGTTTAGCAAAAGTTACAAACCGATAACTTTCTGGACGTGGGCCGTCACTGTTGACTACATAGCGTGCCATTATATGAGTTTTATTGTTCTTCGTGACTTCTACTGTTTTTTCACGTATAAAGAAAGCGAATTCTTTTTCAAGTGTTAGCAAATTATCTGACAGGAATTTTATATCACCAGTAGCTTCTAAATACTTTTCAACCTGAAACAAAAAGTATTAATTTATTTACTTATTTCGGAAAAAAAAAAATTGAATCATACCTTGTGTAAATCAATAAAAGAGTAATAATAAAAATAATTTAAAAACTAATAAATTTACTGTGAAAAGTTTGAGAGTTAAATGGAAAAAAGTTTTTTTTTTATTGTTTAAAACTTTTAATCAAAGTTTAATTGAAAGTAAATTTTTCCAACCAAATTCATTGTATGATTGATAATAATTATAAAATTTCATACAAATATATACTTATGTACTTTTGCTCTAATAATTTGTTTGAAAAAGATTTTAAATTAAATTTATAATTAAAATAAAAGTTTTTATAATTGAATTTATAAAATGTTAAATTTTAATTTTAAATCATGTACATACGCTATAAATAGATGCAAAGAATGATGGTGAAATAACTAGCGCCAATTGTACTTTATGTCGAGAATAAAAAACTAATTAAATTAGAACTTTTATTGAAGTAATAACCCGTGATGCGACAAAGACACATAAGTTTGACTTTACCAACGATTTTATTACACAGCGAGTTCATTTAAAGGATTACACAGAGAAAAATTAATTATACTATCTACTATACAAAAATAGTAACTCCTACTATCTAAAATGGTAATAAAATTAATTAGTAACAAAATAATAGGTGGTATCATTGACAATTGTAATAGTTACTATTAATAATGGTAACGATTACTATCGAAAATAATAATTGTAATTATTATAGATTATAACTGTTACAATCGAAGATGGTAACTGTAACCATCTCAGATTGTAAAAATTCTGAAAGAAAAAATAATACAAATTTACTTAATTAAATCCTTTATTTAAATCCATATTTTAGCTAATGTACATTTTTTCCTTTGAAATATTAAAATATTT